GGCCAGCTCATAATCTTTGGACGATGGTTCATCTTGAGTCGATTTGATGTTTCTGACGCACCAGATTGTTAAAAATGTGAAGGATATTGTTAACATTTATCATGTTGGTTTTGAAAAAGTCGTAATAAAAGTCGTCATATCATTTTTTACACTTTACGGGCGGAAGTGTCGTATTCTTCTTCTGTACATAGTTAAATATATAGAACTTTTACGTAATATATCACGCGCTGAGCGCGTGACTAGTAATATTAGTAGGTAACTAGCTAATCTCCCGATGGCTAATTATCATAATCAGCAAATGAATACATGTACATATCAGAACAATCGTCATAATCAAACAGCTAATTTGATCAGTCAGTCTCTTCATATGGCAAATGGTGTCATGTTTGATCCTCAGTCACAAATGTATCATAACACGGAAATCAGTCATGAACAATCTCATATCCCCCCCCCCTACCACTACGAATTTACAACCAATCAGCTCTCTTGCTAGAACAATTCGACGTGTACATTCGGAGGAAGACGAAAATGGATACACTACGGTAAGATCTAAAAGAACCAGGAATCAGGAAAGAAACAACTGTAATACAATTGATGATCACCAACCACTTCAAAAACAAAGTACAACGCTAGATGCTCCTACATCTACTATTCAGCAGCCATCTACTAATACTGTAGGTCAACCTTATATTACAATACAATCCGAACGTTATGCTACTACCCGTTATCCTTTTTCGCCCTTCATCCTTCCGTATGCGCCAACAAATTTCAAAGAACAGAAGATCGTCGAGCATCTTATTCAACGGGTAAAGCAAAACGGTGATCATGTGGTAGAATTTGCGGGCTACCGTCGGTCTACAGTAAAATGTGATCTAAACGAAATCGACTAAAATCATGAGTAAACCTTCACTACCACCCCAGCTGTCATTAATAATTAAAAATGTGGATCTCAGAGTGGGTTTTAGTGAACTGTCTACTGATCTGCAAGCTAATTATCCAAGCGTGAAAAATGTAATAAGAATGAAAAACAAATTTCAAAATGAAATTCGATTAGTTAAAATAGAATTATTATCCACACAAGATCGTAATCAGCTGCTAGCTCGGGGTAAAATAATGATTAATCACATTAGCTACGACGTGGTAGAATATCTAGCACCGGCTAATGTTTTGATCTGTTCTAAATGCATGGGACTTGGGCATTTCAAAAAGCAGTGTAAAGAAACAACAGAAACATGTAAAGTTTGTAGACTAGCATGCCAAGATTTAAAAAATCACCAATGTACTCAACAGGCTAAATGTTTGCATTGCGGAGGGAATCACAACTCAAATGCGTTAAGCTGTCCTGTTGTTAAGCAGTTTAGAGCCGATCTTACGAAAAAATTGCTATCTAATATTAACTCGTATGTTCAACCTAAATTAGTTCAACAACCAATAAATAATAATAGCAACTATATGCAATATCTAGCCAATTTTCCACCGTTGCCACTTTCACATTATACACCTGTCACGAACCCAAATAGTGTGATCATACAAAAACTTGACGAATTAAATAATAATATGATGAAAATTAATAACCGCATTGGAGAATTAGTAAGAAAAACGGATAAATTAGAAAAATTTATGGTAGAAAAAATTGAATCAGATACGGAAAATTTAAAAAGAATACAAATGACAGAAATGATATCTGAAGCTAATAAAAGGGATATTAGCTCTCTATTAGATACAGTACATTATATGGCTCAATTTTTGTTAAAATTAAATGTTGATCAAAATGGTCGCACTAACGATGCGAACTTTAAATATAACCTAGAAAGACATTGTACTCAGCTGGCTAAATGTGTGGAAAAGAAAGGTAATCCAAAAAAATGACTTTATTCCCATTAGTTACGCCTTTTTCCTCAGGTACACCTTTTTCTCTCTTGCATGAAAGAGAAAAGTTTTTAGAAAAAAGTAGGATATTGCTGTCTTCTTTTGAATTTAAATTGTTGGGGGAAATTTTGTTGGAATGCGAAAATAGTCCTTTGTTAGCTTCATGTTTCGCTAAATGGAACCAATTTGTACGTTCTGATCTTTCTTCTGTTTCAACCTCTCTACATGTCTTATCGTTTAACGTCAGAGGATTAGACTTGCGATGTCAGGAAGTGCTGTTGTTAACGAAAAAATTTTCTTTCGACATTATGATTTTGATTGAAACCCGAAGAGTTGACTTGGCCTTCTGTACCCAGGTCTTTTCTAAATATCGTATTTTCTATTAAAAAGGTGAAAATCCTAAGGGTGGCGTTATGATAATAGTTAGAAACGATATAAAAGTAAACAGAATCGACTGTGAGATGCCAAATGTGTGTGTTGTGGATGTTTTGGGGGAGGAAACTATACGTATTGTTGGCATGTATGCGCCAGAGAGTAAGAGTTGGCAATGGGATGATTTATCTAAGGTTATAACGAAAAAAAGTTTAGTTTTTGGAGATTTTAATGTCGATCTAGAACAAGATACAGCTAACTCAAATATTTTGATGCAATGGGCAGATACGCATTTTTTAGCACCTTTTACCCCAGATTCTTCAACTTCACTTCGATCGGATAGAATAATAGACTATGCGCTAGCTAGTGGAGTATCGATTGATATCCAAGTGTATGATGGTAATACGACGAGCGACCATTATCCGATTTTCGCTATAATACCCTTTGTATGTAAAGAGACTTCGGTAGGTAGGACTGTATATTGGAAGGTGTTCTCTATTTTTTTAGAATACGTTTATTCTTTCTGGGAGGTGTTGTGGAATTTAGGCGATCTTGAGAGTGGATACAAAGATTATGAAATCTTTCTTTTCTGCCTTTCTGCTCGGTGTACGACTTTCTTTCCTTTTAACAAATATCGCGTTGCGATCCCTGGTGAAATACGTTCTTTAATGTCCTTCGTACGTGCCCTATCTTTTCAACAAAAACGTACAGAAGATTTGTATCTACGAACTGAAGTGTATATACTATGAAAATTAGTTAAAAAACAATTGAAAGTGTTTTTCTTCTATCAATTAAGTCATAGTCTATCTACACGTCATACTTCTTCTTCAGTGTCAGTAGCTTTCTGGTCGAAAACAAAAAAAACTTTTAGAGCGTCTTCTTTCCTGGATGTGCTTATACTACCAAGCGGTAAATCAGTGAAAGCACCAATCGAAATGACGGAAGCTGCTGCGGATTATTATGAGGAGTTTTTTAAAGATCCAGCTGATATAGTTAGACCACATCCTTATACTGACGCTCCTTGGACAGATTCGGAAAATTTTGAAGAAAAGATACCGTTAGCAACCTTAGAGGAGGTGATTGAGGTTGTAACATCTAGAGAATTGAAAAAATCTTGCGACGCAAATGGTTTATCGAATTACATGTTTCAGTATGTTCCATTGTCGTATTGGCTTTTATTGCTACAACTTTTCAATTCATCTTTTGCACAGGCGATGTTTTCTGATTCTTGGAAGGAAGTTAAAATGTTAATTCTAGCAAAAAAAGATTCTATCTGTACTCCTTCTTTAACGCGACCGATTTCTTTACTCAATGTCTTTTTAAAAATAAATGAAAAACTTT